GGGGGGGGGTGGGGCGGGGGGGGGGGGGGGGGGGGGGGGGGGGGGGTCCCTGTGCAGCAACGACAGTGGGATTAATTTAAAATAATTGTATGGACTCTGTATTTAACGCCATGTTGGCAAAAGTGCCCAAATGAGCATTAAATGCTTCAGTTTTGTTCTCGTCTCTCAAAGTGTCACTGCTTTTTTTGTTGTTTTAGTTCACAGAACTCTAATTAAACATATATACTAATTAAATTCCTTTTTTTTTTTTTAAGTTTAATTACTTGACTCATCCCTAAGGGGGAGTTTCGTGTCCTTCTCTATAAACATAAAAAAGAGGGAGCGACTCACTTTGTGGCCAGCAGCATGTTTTTCCGTGTGTGCAGCTCGTTGGGGTCGGCGTGTTGCCGGTTCAGGTACTCGCTCACAGCTTTGGTGGGAAACTCCGTCTCACAGATGTAGCCGAAGTCTCGGGCCAAGTGGACCGCCTCACCTGAGGGCAAGAAGATACAGACACTCAGGAGCTCAGCGTGCACGAGCTATGAGTCCAACTGTTTGTTTGACACCAACTGTTGCAACCTTTGCAAAAATGATGTGGCTTAAAAAGTAAAACGTGTCCATATTGGTTTGTTTTGTTAACAAAATAAAAGCGGAAGGTGTTTCAATTTGCATTTTCCAATTGCATTTAAGCAATAAAACTTGTTTTTGTTGCTTTAAATTTTGACAATCAGGAGAGCAGATTTAAAAAGAAAAGGTTTAACCAAAAACAAAATATATATATATAACATGTTATTAATAGCTGGCGCACATTTATTTGTTTAATAATCCCTTTTTACTTGTTTAAAATTTACTTTATGCTGACATTTAACAGTTTCACACGCAACCTTGATTTTTGGTGATATATCCTGAAGCTTGTATATTTATTTTATTTTTTTACTTTTTGTCATGCGAAGGGTATTTATTTTGTAATTTTTTTTTATTTTTTGGCGCTTTGTTTTGAAAAAGGATAAAGCAAAATAAGAATTTCACCTGTTTCCACTGTATACAACAATAAACTGTGTCTTGTGTTAACTGTATCTGAATAAACAAATAAAAATGATAGAATACCTAAAATAAAGTTTTTTTCTTTATTTCTTTTATAATACTTGCGCTGTCGCTGATGTGTCAAAGGAAAATGTGTTTTTCAGAAACGTAAAAAGCAAAAACATGTTTCTGTGAGAAACAGAAAAGAAGCAGAAAGATATTTTACTGATCCCCCGAGGGAAACGAGTTAAAATATGATGAATGATGATCAGTCACCTTCTACAAGAGATGTTAGTAACGTGACGTTTGCAGCTTTGCGCCTCCCAGCAGGAAGATTCAACCCGATCTTCTCCAGTTTTTCTCGCAGACATTTCCCTCCGTTTTTAGACTTGGCTCTGCAGAAGAAACATTTACATATTTTAAGGTTTGGGGTTTCTTATGTGCCACTTGTGCAGAAATATGTAAGACATGCAGTGAATTGGGCTGAATGTTGGACTTTTCCATAACACAAATTCAAAGATAAGATAAAAATGTGCAAATTAGTCCAAAAATTCTAAAGCGAGTTCAAATTTAGAAAGTTCTTGACCGCTAACAGATAAAAATACAGTCCAGGGTAGAACAAAAAAAAAAAAGGAACATGCAAACTTTAATGAAATAAAAGTTTTCTTTTAACTAAAGTAATATTTGAAAATGATTTGTCTCCAGAATTATAACTGATAATAAATTCAGATTTTTTTTTTAATGTTGCCGTCTTTCTGCTCAAACAATGAGGAGCTGCCTCCCAGCCTGGGGCCTTGTGTGAAGGTTACATGTTCTCCCTGTCCAGGTGGGAGTTTCTCGTGTTTCCTCCCTCAAACCAAAAGCATGCACAGGTTCACTGGAAACAAGTTGTCCCTGAGACAGAGACAATGAATGCTTGTCTTGGTGTGATGGACTAAACATCTGTCCAGGGTGTCCCCAGCCTCTCACACTGCTGGAGACAGGTAAAACTGATGGATGGATGGATGGATGGATGGATGGATGGATGGATGGATGGATGGATGGATGGATGGACAGATGGATGGATGGATGGATGCATGGATGGATGGATGGATGGATGGATGGATGGATGGATGGATGGATGGATACATGGATGG